GTTGGAGCAAATCCATGAAAGGCACGGCAACACTGTTCTACAAATCCAAGAAGAGCACACCAACACGTTGCGTGAGCTCGGGGAGAGGGTTGCTGAGTTTGAAAGCTACAAGAAGAGAACAGCTGAAGAAATAAGCAGCCTTACACTGGAGAACGCCTCTCTGAGAGAAGCTGCCAGCCCAAAAAAAATAGGTCAAGAGAATCTACAGCTGCTTCAGGAAGCAGAATACACTAAAAATAAAGTGGAAGAAGAATGCGCAAGGAAGATCATAAATGAAGATGTGACCTCCAGCTTAGAAGAAGAGGTGGAGACCTAGCGGAATCTGTATGAAGACTTGAATAACAAAACCAAGCCGTTTCAGCAACAACTAGATGCACTTGAAGCAGAGAAGAATGCGCTCTCACCTGAGCATGGTGCTGCCCAAGAAGAACTGAAAAAACTAAGTGATGCGTACGCTAAACTCCTTGGCCACCAGAACCAGAAGCAAAAAACTAAGCATGTAATGAAGTTGAAGAAAGAGAATGCCCACCTAAAGCAGGATGTCTCAAAACTGCGTGTGTTGCTAGCGAAAGAAAAGCAAACCAACAGAGATCTCCAGGAGCAACTGAACGCAGTCCAGGGCATTCAGCGTTGTGATCCTTCCAGAGCTTTCCAGCACAGCAGCAAGGAAAACTTTCCTCCAAAAACTCCTTGGAAAGAACGTGATAAGAACAAAATTTAATCTCTTCTTGGTATGAAGAAACATACCATAAATCGTCAATAACTGATGTACTACAGACGACCTCCACGAACGACTTGTTCCAAGGTGAAATTGGATGTATACAATGTAATTTATTCACAGGCATCTCACTGTTCAGGTTTTGGCAACTGAAACATCCTAATGTGGGGATAAAAAGCCAGGGACCGCTACTGTCCGACAGCAGCAAGAGGCAGGCCAGGCAGCAGGAGACTGGACTGCTGGGAGTGCAGGAGACCCAGTGCCGGGACAGACCCAGTTTCATCCATGGCCAAGGAAGACTGCACCATAGTTTTATTTAGCAATATGCCCTGGAAGCAGCACTGGCTCTGGAAGCTTTGGGGAACTTCTCTCCCGTGGCTTGACAGAGCTCACCTACATCCCAAGAGACTTACAATGATTCCTGAATCCCACTGCATTTGGGAGCTTCCAAAAAAACCGGGCTATCTGAGTTTGGGGTGGGCGCTCAGATTGCAGAAAAGCCTCAAATACCAAGAGGCAACGCTGCACCAGCTTGAACACAAACAGGTCTGCCCAGGGGGCTCCAGGGAGCCCTGGCTTAAAGGAGGTCCGTCATCACCCACACAGACCGTAGAGAAACACGTCACTTCCCTGGCCCGAGACATTCTCTGTGGGTTGGCAGAACCTGCCAGAACCTCCCCTCTCACACGTCCCAGACATCTCACCTGCGTTCTGCAAGATTATGCATTTCCCCTGTAGCACACGACAGAAGACATACAGGCTAAACATATGAACAGTTTTTAAAATAATGCAAATAAAGATCCAGATGCAAGATGCTTTAGGGTATCTACCACCACCTCCCATTCTCCCACAATACATTCTGATGCAGACACGGCAGCAGGCATCTGAATGCTACTGGAAAAAAGGCAAGGATGAAGCTTCAGGAGAGTTATCAGGCCCAGGCTGATGAGTAGACTGCCATGTATAAATATAGAACCACTTAAATTATATATATTAATCTATATTTATATATATGTATCAATTAAGTATACATATCCATGTGTATACACAGAAACACATGCATGAATCTCAATAGTCCCTCCGTTGAGAAACCTAAAAAAAAATCCCTGAAAATATACATCAATTATTCGGATATTCTGAAGTACAAGCAATGTATTCTCATTGTTTTTTTTCATAAATATGCATTAAAATTCTCGGTGGTAGTCACCCTTGTGGGAATAACAACATAGTTGTATAAGTTGTAAAATATAAATACAGGCCTTAAAAATGCTTTGAAGAACAGGTATAGCCAGTGTAAGTAACTTCCAGGACAAACAGAAGTGATCAGAACAGAAAACCAGACCTGAGCACATGACTCCACAACATCTGGCCAGGTTCAAGGCCAGGTTGGATGGAGCTCTGAGCAACCTGGTCTAGTGGAAGATGTCCCTGCTCATGGCAGGAGGGTTGGAACCAGATGAGGTTTAAGGTCCCTTCCAACCCAAACCATTCTATGATTCTGTGATTCCATGATCTGTATTGCCATAACACATGCAAGTGCACAGGACCTCTCCAGTCCTCCCCGCCCCCCTAAAGTCCCTTTTAAAAGCTTTCTGTAATTGTGATGGAGGATATGATTGAAACAATTTAATTGGACTTAACAAAGGCAGAGAATAATATTTTTGATAACAGATACAGTACAAGAAAAAGGTCATGTTGCGAAATCCATGAAAACTCCTCAAATTTGGGGACAGTGTGTTATGTATCTCCTCCCTAAGAAATCAGGGCAACCTTTGCAGTCCATCCACATAATATTTTTCCCTATTCAGGGTTTCTAAATACGTTCTTAAAATGACTTTTTATAAAAATACAGTATAAACCAATACGCGCAATACCATATTTTGTTTCATCAAAACCAAGAATTATACAACTGCATTTTTTAATTAAAAGAAAGTTTCCAAATACAAACATAAGGATGGGTGATGTGTTCTGGGGAATCAGTTAATATCCCTTCTTTTCCATGAAACACTTCCCTATTGCAACATGATGAATGGCCTCCGCAGCACCACGTACTACCCCCCCAAGATCGGAGCAGGTGTGATAGCAGCAACGGAAGGTTTGGTACAGATGAAGCCTGAGAAAATTCAGGGTAGACATATGTCACTGCTGTAGAGTCAGCATATCCAGGCTTGCAAGAACCACAAAATTTAGGAGGAGTATTAACTTCAACTTAAATGTTACAGTATATCCTGTCTTATTGTAGTTTCTTTTCCCATCCATGATTACTTGGATCTTAATCCTGTGCGGTTTCAAGGACCTTCAAGCTCCTCCTCAGGCCTCTCTCTGGGTTCAAACCGTCAGTTTTCAATGAACCAGACTGAGCAACATTCTGCTTACAAAAACTCTTAGAGCCTGGAAGTAAGCAGATGGCTACACACAGAAAAGAGTTTAAAAAAACCCCAGAATACACTACAGAAGAGTTCCAGGATTCTAGCAGGGAGCTATACAATATCAGGAGTTTCATAAAAAAAGCATTTGATTTTTCCTTTGTGCAAACTGCATTGTACATGACAGAAGCAGTGCATGAACCACAGTGTCCTCTTCACGTGACATTCTACATCTACTGTGAACCCTGCACGGCCCATTAACGTTGTCTCTAGACCAATTCTCCAGAAAAATTCTAATCCCATTAAACTTCCTGAACATCAAAGTTGTATTTTACAGAAAAGAAAATGAAGGCAAAATTTCACATGTCCACGCATTGGTGGTACAGAAAAATAACCGAGTCCTCACGTCTTAAGCACAAAAAAAACCTGATGAGAGAAAACGTGGTCCAGATGATAAAGTGCAATTATTATTTCACTTGTGCTAAAAAGCTTTCCAATTCTGCAATTTTATTTCTTGGTGATTTTATTCAACTTTTAATTATAACTTTTTTTTGCTTCTGTCCCCATCTTTCCAGTACTGTTCAGTTTGCATTTCTGTAAGCCGTGAGACAGTACGCTGAAAGGCAAAGGCTTCCTCTTCTCCTGTAAACATGGAGAGTCCTTTGGCAGATTCCTACATTGATACACAAAAACAGCACCACAAAACTGTGAGAGACATAGCTGTACTGCAGTGCATCCTAGCTGACTCCTAAGGCTGAGTGCGTTACAGGCTTTGACAATACAAGACAGCAGCATGGCACCAAAAAAATAAACCGAACATCCAACAATTAAAACACCTATTTCAGCTAGGTAATACTCTGAAGTAACACAGCAAAACAATAATTTGGATTTAAAACAACATGATGACATGTTAACCATCTATTTTCAGTCTTCTGTTGACTAATTGTATACCGATTTAGACAAATTATTTAAAAATTCATTAACAATAACGGGGTTATAGGGAAAAGGAAAAACAGAATAAACAACATGCAAAATAGTACTGTTCGTGAGGCAGCCCTATATAGTTTAGGAAGAAGTATAACAGACATCTTTTATTTCTTTATTTTGAATGCAGGAGCAAAACTTAAATCAGTATTTTCATACATGATTGAACAGATATGACAATTAACAATCAAAATGACCCTACAACTTAAGCAAAATGATTCTATATATTGTGACATTTTCTTTGACTATGAATAAATAACGTAACATACAATTATGAGAGCGACAGATACACTGCAGAAAAAGCAGCAAATCACTAGTTAAACGTTTACTTGATTCCTCTTCCTAAAATGCTCCTGTAATTATGAGACCAGAACCAATTTTGTTACAAAAGGGAGACGATGTTAATATCATGTACCTGGCTCAAGTCCAAATCATCCATCAACACTCTGTTGTCCTCTAGCTCACCATTGTCATGTTCTACCAGGAACAAGCTTTGGAGAGGAGTCACTGCAGAACAAATAATACGCACCTGAGAGAAGGAAAACAAGCAACAATATCATCACTTGGGCCCTACAGAAAAGGGATAAAATACATATTTTATGAAAAGCAAACTTCAAATTATGACCTTGGTTTTTTTTCCAGGTGTTTTTCCTTTCTCTTATTAGCACTGCTGTTACAGATTTACCTGACTCAAGTCATTTGGAATACTATCCTTACAGGACCTTTTTCTCAATAGCAACTCATGTTACTTACTCAGAGAACAGCGTAACTGCTATTAAATACTCAGAGTATCTGCTATCCAGGCAATGAGTTCACAATCAAGTTTACTTTCTAAAATAACACTATAAAGTACTAGTAACCAATGCCTGCTTTCCCCCCGTAGTTAGATTCCTCTCAGTAGGTAAGCGCACTGCACACATACTTCCATCTAAAGAATGTTTAAATTCCAAACTTCCCCGAAGGCTGAGTTGAGCGACTCTTGCTTTCACCTGTGCTACTCAAGCACACATTATTTGCTAATAACAATAATGATGCTATTTCCACATCTGCTGGGAGGAGATACAATGTGCAGTCAGACACGGTGTCTCTGGGGGGCTGCAGTAAAGTCAGGCTGAAGTATTATTAAGAAGGAGACACTTGTTGAGAGCGTGCAGGGAAAATGTTTGCGCTGCGGACAGGTCTCTACAAATACGTTCTCTCAGGTAGTTTTTCCAAACAGCTGCTTGTGAGGGGAGTTTAACACTTGTGTTTTCCCTGTGGGGGAAGTAATAAAAGTGGCTGTTTGCTTACAGTTTTTAATGGCAGCACATAGAGCAGATCACACCACTCCCTCCTCTGTTTGTTAGTTTATAAATGTTAGCATATCCTCTGAGAAACTACCCATTTCCAAATCATAAAGCACAAAGAATCTGCCTAACTTATATGAGACTGCTCATATGCTTAGTTCAATACCTCGCTGAATCAGGGCCTTTCTGATCAACTTGCCAGGACATTCTTGGAAAAAAAGAAAATCTCTGTCGATATTTCCTGATTGCACAAATATTTATGTGTGTGCATACATGATCATACATAAGACAGAGTTTCATATCTTGTATTACTTTTAAAAAAATCATCTTAAACATGAACTTCTCTTTGTTTTAGTAGCACTGATTTTGCTTCCATGATTGAAACCTCTGTAAATCCACATGAAGTGCTGCATTTATCATTACTATTCCATTAGCAGTTCTGCAACCTAATGTAAAGCCTACAGTGACTGTTTCCTTTAAACTTAATAACGTAACTACGCTATGAACTCCTCAGAACCCTGTTCAGGAAGGCACTGATTCCTGAACAACTGCCTGTACAGATTAAAATTTTTAAAATTTAAATTTACTCCAGCACAGTTGGCAGCACAATCTTCCACTATTAAGATGATGTCATGTTGTCTGTGGTTTTCCTGGGTTAGGAAAGAAATAACATCCTTATCCGAGACAGGCAAATAAGCTCAGGCTTATATTTACGGTCGTGCTTAATACTCACAGAAATCAGAAGAACCACACCTGCTTATTTGCCTTTATTGCAATGGGGCCTTTTTTGTGAAGCTGGAATGATGTTTCTTTGCTGTGCTGGTTCACTCTGCTTATGCTTTCCAAATCATTACTACAGAAAGCCTTACTTCAAACCAATTGTAACAGTCAGGTTTTAGGGCTCCCAGTATTATTCCTCTACATGTAGGACAGGCTTGGTTCTCACCTTATGCTCATAAAAGGTATCGATAAGAGTAATGAAACGACGGGCTTGTGTCCTTTTTGCCATCGTAAGCGGTGGTATGTCACGAACAAAGACTGTGTCAAAATGCTTTGATATTTCCAAATAGTCACTGGCTCCAAGAGGCTGAAACAAAACAAACCGTAAGAAATGGAAACCCATGACAGAATGATACATACACACTGTATCTTGAAATACTACAATTACAGAAGAGAGTGTGTAAAGTCCTGATCATATTCTTATTTTTCTTTTTTTCATATGAAATGATGCCATGAAAAGCTGGAGTTCAGGAACGCACGTTTGCCCTTAGGTATGTATGGGTGTTCACTCATACTGTTGGCTTTACCTGAACAGTGTTCGATAGTTAAAAACATGGCTCTTCTGCATCCTGAGAATGTTACGATCTCTCTGACAACCTCAAACAAAATAATCACTATAAACCATAATCCACAGAAGGAAAAAAAAAATAGATGGTTAAGCTATGAAGTCAACCTAAAGCATAAATAATCTGAAAACCTATTAGGATGCTTGCCAGCAGCAAGATTTTTAAACGCAAATGCATAGGCTGGTTACCGTATCAGCAGTAGACCTGCATTTAGTTCACCCAAGACTAACCCAGACTGAATTGAAATCTTATGTTCTAAGTACTGAAAGCAACTGGAAACAGGCAAAACCACATTTCTGTAGCAGTTCTTTTGTTCATGGTTTCACCTGTAATGATCAAATAAAAGTCTTTAATAGGAACTGTTCAGTTTCTATAGCTCCATCAAGCACACATTTAAATACATTTATTTAAAATTACTTTTTCATTACATGGAAGGTAATTTTTTCTGCAAGATCTACCCTATCAGTACTGCAGGCAGTACTTTATCTTGAGCTATTAAGTCATCGTATTTAGGAGAAAAACGTACTCCTGAAACTCATCCCATTAGCTCTACTTGTCTGAGTACTTCAGTATTGTTCTGCTTTCGGCTGCAGCCGGCAACAAAAGTGCCACGCGGCCGCCCCTCCCCCCACCGGGGTGTGGAGGAAAATGGAAAGAAACAGGCAGAAACTGGTGGGTCGGGATAAGGGCAGTTTAACAGAACAGCAAACAGAGGGAACAGCAACAACAATGGTACAGATAAGGAGAAAACACAACAACGAACCGCACAAGCCACAGACCCGCTCTCCCGGACAGGACCGGCGCCGTGCACTCCCGAGCTGCGAGTGAGTTCCCGCCGCCACCCCCACCCCCTGGAACCCAGCGTGACGGCACATGGTATGGAGTACCGGGCTCTGTTTGGCCAGGTGGGGTCAGCCCGCCCGGCTGTGCCCCTTCCTGGAGTCTGGTGAAAATTAACCCTGTCCTGGCCGAACCCAGGACAAGTATCTTCGACGCTACTATTCCACAGAGCGAGCTCAGAAGCATTTTGCATGATAATGTCACAACTCTCTTCACAGCTAATGAAATGTGCTGTACTAACAGTATAGTACAAAGCACTCCAATACTGCTAATATCTTAAAAACAGGAAGTAAAAAATATTTTCTCTAACTGAAACTGCTAGACAAATGTGCTGTAGGCCAAGCATAACCGCTTAACTAGAACCCTTCTGCAAGTAGTTATTTTAAGCGATTATTAATGGCTTATTATTAATTAACCCAGGACTTTGGGTTTTATTTAGACACAGGAATGAAAAACCTGTAGGAATGATCCATATGCAAGTACAGGAGAGTGAAGTCCCAATGGCATTCCAAAAATTCTTCTGAAAATTAATGGGAACAAGCTAGACCTTCTCACCAGCTAACCCCCCAGGCAGGGGAGCCTCTGACTCTAAGCCAGTTCTCTCATTTGCAGTCTCATGAATCACCCTGCTTTCCCGTTCACAACCACACAACTTCCCTGTGGCATCTATGGAAAAGAATTATAACAAAACCCCTTCTTAGCAGTGTTTAAGAGCAGTATATACTATGTCCTCTCCTCAAAGTTACATACACCATTTATTTTCTCCCTCCATTTCAGTCTCCCAGCCGCTATTATGAACTTCTTCACGAGAAACCAAGAAACTGATTATCATGAGGGTCACCAGCAACAGCTTCATGCATCACCTCAGAAAAAAATCTCACCTGGGCCAAGAGGAGCTGAACTTGAAATGTTTAGATGAAATAAAGCACAAAAAGGTTAAAGGAAGTGAAAAGAACTGGTGAATGGAAACGTTACAGAGCTAGACCACCACATACCTCACCAGCAGACACAAGTAATAGCCAGGTGGACAACAGTCACATTAAGTGCAAAAGAAAACAATGGAAGCACCAAAAGCAACAGATACTTGGATGTTGCTGGAAATTTTAACATTGGTGGTAAGGAAACAGTTTCGGTAACAGTAATTTTTGTTCCCTGCTTAGGACTGAAGTACTGTTAAGTACCAAGGAGATAAAGCACACCTGTGTGCTGAGTACCCGAAAGGGACAACAGCAGTGATCTAACTGCATGTGAGAAAGGAAATAATTTCTCATGTCTTTCTTTAGGTAGGAAATTACAGGCATCACTGCTATTCGCGTTCATTCTTTTATCACATGAAGAGCACTCTTCTGCTGAAGCCCAAAACTCTGACAAATTATTCCATCTTGCCCCAATGTGATATACTTTCTCACCCAAACCATACGAATACACTCTCCTCATTGCAAATATAAAGTATCAAATATTAAAGTATCAAATATTAAAAGCTGATTCCTAAAATAAATAAATAAATTAAAAATAAAGGCTTCAGACTCTTGCAAAATCTGCAAACTGAAGCGCCCAGCTGCTGAGCTATACATCTGAGAACTTGGTGGGTACCTTGGTGGACATCCAGATAGGAAAATGAAAAACCTGGGGAGTCCGAGGGAGGAAACGGATGACAAAAATAAGGCTAAAGCATTTCAAATGGGAAGAAAGGAAGATGAAATACTTTATACAGACATAAAACCACACTTCATGGAGGGTTACAATATGCTTCTTTATCACCGTCAAACAAGAATTTGATCTGTTTCAGCAGTCCAAAAGCAGGCAATTCATCTAATTAAGGACATAAAAGGCGTATCATTTTGAGCTGTTTAACAAGAACTTCTGAAACACCTACACCAGCACTAAGTGACAATATTCTGCAAAATGTTGGCAGAAATGTGCCATTGGACACTCCAAAATCTTATGATCAGAAAGATCTGAGCCTAGCAGTCACGAGCATTTTAACAGAGTAAGTTTGTACCTCCCTGCCAAGACCCAAGTCTGGTGAGACACAACTGAAACCCCAAGTCAGCCAGTCAGTTGTTGTATACGGCTCAGGTGGCACCGGCTGCAGTTCCTTACATAGAAGGCCTCTCAAACCCTCTCCTTTTAAAGTTTAGAAAGACATAACCCTGGAGATGAAGACAAAGCTTTTACTCTTGTTCTCAAAGAGTGTGTCCAGCAGGTTGAGGGAGGTTCTCCTTCCCCTCTACACTGCCCTAGTGAGGCCCCATCTGGAGTACTGTGTGCAGTTCTGGGCTCCCCACTTCAAGAAAGACGAGGAACTACTGGAGAGAGTCCAGCGGAGGGCTACGAGGATGGTGAGGGGACTGGAACATCTCTCCTACGAGGAGAGGCTGAGCGAGCTGGGCTTGTTCAGCCTGAAGAAGAGAAGGCTGTGAGGGGACCTAATATATACTTACAAATATCTGAAGGGTGGGTGTCAGGAGGATGGGGCCAAACTCTTTTCAGTGGTGCCCAGCAACAGGACAAGGGGCAGTGGGCACAAACTGAAGCACAGGAAGTTCCGTCTGAACATGAGGAAGAACTTCTTCCCTCTGAGGGTGACGGAGCACTGGAACGGGTTGCCCAGGGAGGTTGTGGAGTCTCCTTCTCTGGAGATATTCAAGACCCGCCTGGACAAGGTCCTGTGCAGCTTGCTGTAGGTGACCCTGCTTCGGCAAGGGGGTTGGACTAGGTGACCCACAGAGGTCCCTTCCAACCCCTGCCATTCTGTGATTCTGTGATCTGTGATTCCTTCTGCCTCACTCTACTTACTGTAAAAAGAAGGAACAACCAGCAAATTTGCAAACGCTCCGGGGACGGTTTAAAGTCCATTTTGCGTTCCTCTAACCTTGGTATTGGCCTGATTTCCATGCTGCATGTAATTGCTTCAAAGCTTTTCTAACTCACCAGCTACACTCAAGACGCTCCAAATGCAGGATACCATGATGCAGGGACACCCTGACAGCTTCTTGAGTCACATTCTCACTGCCCTGTGGCTGTTGCAAAATTGGCATGAGCTGGCACAAGCACCCATGTACCAGCTCTGTGCCACCCAGGAAAAAGAGCCAGGGAAAATGGGTTCAAGTCCAGATCACAGCACTGCTAGAGATTCTGGATGTACAGTCCATATACAGAAGCTCCACTGAGAAGCAAGTTCCTGCTGTTTCAGCAGCCAACACCTCTGCTCTCCCAACAGTCTTTCTTACCAGCCCCTTTTCCTCACCTTGCAGCAAGCACTGGCTGGGTCCTGACTGCCAACAATACAGGCTTGGGACAAGATGACAAGACTAGTGGCAAATCATAGAATGGTTTGGGTTGAAAGGGACCTTATAGACCACCTACTTCCAACCCCACTGCCATGGGCAGGGACACCTTCCACTAGGCCAGGTTGCTCAGAGCTCCATCCAACCTGGCCTTGAAAATGTGGTAACTAAAAAAACCCCAAAGCAATAGATTGAACTTTATGTGGGGTTGTTAATATCTCTGGTCAACTGATATGTTGTCTTACCTATTAGCATATTAACTCACAGATTACAGTTTACAAAAGTTTTTTTGCATGTACGCATCTTATTTAGAAGTTCATTAGAATAGCATTTAAGTGAGTCCTCCAGTGCTACTGACTTCAACCAGAAAAACACAACTAGAAATCCATATCTATTTAGAAAATGGAGAAATACATTTTAAGGTGTTATGAGCTGATGTCTTGGACCTATTGTTAGTCCAAGACTCCCTTGTCAACCTAAAGTCTTACAAGTTAAGCCCATCATATGAAAGTTAAAGTTCAGCACCCTTTTTCTTGTACCCTGATACAGTAGCCGGGGAGAATCAGCTCCCTTGACCTGCTGGCCATGCTGCGCTGGATGCAGCCCAGGAT